TTGGTTTTTGATACAGGGTCTCACTATGTAGTTGAGACTGAACTGGAACTCACTATGTAGCCCAGGTTGGTCTCAACCTCACAGCCATCCTCCTGCCTCAGCCTCCAGAGTGCTGGGATTACAGGTGTGCATCACCACACCGGCATTTCTTAAATAAAGAGAAAAAGCTCATTCAGGCCCCCCCAGGGATGTGATAGCACTGCCTGGCTCACAAGCACAAGACCCAGAGTCCAATTCCTGGTACCAGGAAAAAAAAAAAGGCCAACACTACCATATAGGGGGGCAGGGCAGGGGGTCCCTAACCAGCACCAACTCTCCCTCCTTATAATGGCCCAAGGGTCAACAGGACGTGACTGAGGTTGCAGTGTTGGTGAACCTATGGCATGTGTGCCCTAGCAGGCTACCTGTGCCACTATAGCTCTAGAAGGTTCGCCATCACTGGCTTAGGGGGTCATTTGGGTCACTTTGACCCACACACCTAGAACAATGCCCAGTGACCCCAGCCATGTGTTTCCCCTGACTCTGGTGTTCCACCACCAGGTGACAAAGCGGTCCCCTGCTTCTACACCTACACATGCTGCAGCCTTGTTCTGTCTGCCTCCTCTCTGCATATCTGAGGTTTCCACTTCTGCCTCAGCCTCCTCAGCTCAGGATGCTCTCTGGAGACTACATTCAGACTCTAAAAGATGGGGTCTGACTCGTTCCGTTAGTTACTGTCCTTTCGGGGATGTCTTAATGGCTGTCAATCTACAGCCACCTGTTCTTGGGTTTGTTTTCTGGATCTGCTCTGTTGTGGGAAATGGTCAGCTTTCCTCAGAAGGAGCTCCACATAGGTATGAAGGCTGGGAGAGTAAAATAGCAGCTTTTCAAAGCCGACTCCTGCCGGCAACAGGCACGACTACTGGAGTTGATGTCTGTCTTTCAAAATTAAAGTAGACTAAAGGAGTTCATGATAGAGAAGACAAATGGAAGATGAGAAAGCATTTACAATTATTAGCCAGATGTTATCAAGTAATCAACATTATTAATCACTTTCTAAACAATAAAAACTATTGTAGAGATACAAGAATTCAAGAAGCTACTGATTACGGCCCCCTAACGTCAGGGTGTCTGGCCCTTGGGTAAGGCCAAGCCCCCACTTGTTAGAGCACTAATACCTGAAGCTTGGAATGAATCTGAGCCTTGGAAATGCTACACTGGGTTCTAAAGACTAAATCAGAACAACTTAAGAACAATTTAAGTTTTTTATTACTGATTTGTCATCAGCCCTTTGTTCCACTGACAAGAGTCATCCACAGGCCAAAGAGTACACAGTCTCTGCACAGACATTGGGCTGTTAACACTTTTTCCATCTCCCCCAGACACCCCTGGGACTCAGGTTCGGCATGCGTGCTTGGCGTAAATTTCAAGCTTTGATGTCAGAACCATGTTCATGTCCCCACCTATCATCTTCACCAGCAACCACACCTGTGACTGCTGCTGAAAATCCTAAGCTTGTCCCAGGCTTCACACAGTGAGAGCTCTCCGCGCTGTTGTGCCCACCTTGAAGACGAGACACTCGGGCAAGGCGCCAGTGAAGAAGGGCTGTCCCTGCGGGTAAGGCCAGACGCCAAAGCCACGAGATGGAGGCAGCTGGGCTGGGAACCCCACGAACACTTCTTATCCCAGGCTGGTCTGGGGGCTCTGTGTGGCTCTGCTCTGGCTTTATCCTTCCTGTTCTCCTTAAATATTTTATAAAATTTTTTTGGTTGCTGTTATTAGGTGTGCAAATATCTCTGAGAACCTGCTTTCAAATCTTTTAGATAAATACCCAGGAGGAGGATTGCTGGATCACATGGTAGCTCAATTTTTAAGTTTTTAAAAAAATATTTACTTTTTTATTGGTACCGGGGATTGAACTCAGGACCTTGCAATTGCAAGGCAGGTGCAGTGCCACTGAGTTAAATCCCTGGCTCCTTCCATTTTTTCTTAGCACTTTTTTTTTGTGGGGGGTTACCATGGATCGAACTTGGGTCCTTGTACTTTTGAGGCAGGTGGCAGAACCACTGAGCTAAATACCTGGCCAGGCGCTCTCAGTTTTAAGTTTTTGAGGACCACCCCCCTGAGTTTTTAATAGTGGCTGTACCAACAAGCCCCAACCCCAACAGTGGGTAAGTATTCCAATTCATTATTTAGACTGTAAACCATACGTACATATTACCTACTCAATAAAATATAATAAACCAAAATTAAAACTTTTGAGGAAAAAATTCATGTGAGGAAATACTGAGCATATGAATGTTAAGAATAGATCTTTCTTTCTCTGGGTGCTCATTGACTTCCTGCTATTAGCTAAGTCAAGATATGTAAATCACCATGTTTCTTTTTTGCCCCGGTTGCCTGGAGGCACAGAATTAAATGCAGAGCTCAGCTACCAAAGCTCCCACTTATCTAAATTTCTGGTAACCCCCCCACACCATCCTACCCCTTTCTTGGCTTTTGTTAATTTATCCTTATTTCTGGCTTTCATCATAAACCCACTCTAATGCTTTTGAGGCAAAAACAATCAACCAAAAAGATAGAATAATCATAAATACCTGATTTAAGAAGACAGAGGAGGACGACTGGGGGCTTAA